GGAGGAGGAGGAGGAGGAGGAGGAGGAGGAGGAGGAGGAGGAAGACGACGACTGTGGGGTCCTTGGTGCTCCTGGAGCTTGCTGGTTTTCTGGCAGACATTTCATGACCCAACTAGGGAACACCATCAGTGCTAGAAGGGAGTGGGGTTACTCTCTCTTTATACACCGTCCATCCTGAGAGTCGATATCAGGGCATCATAAAGTCACCAAAGGCTGAGAACGATTCTTATAAATGACTCTCCTTATCAGCAACCATTAATCTCAACCGCTGAGAGGCAACAGTGGAAAAGCGGTTCCAAACTGTGAATTGGGCTGGCGCCATTCCACGCTCGACCAACACACACACACACACACACACACACACGGCTCAGCCCTTGAACCTTTTTAATCCCGCAAATGGGGAGTGCTTTACGGGGAAACCTCACCTCTCTGTAGCATCTCCCGGGTCTTCGTTTTCGGAAGCTGGATGAACATGGTCCCGAAACAAACCGTGGCTTTGTCTGAAAGCAGGAAAAGAAAGCCTGTTTTAATCTGAAGCGTCAATTTGTGTAATTTAAAAAAACAAAACGGCTCCTGCTTTGAAATCTCGGAAGCCTCTTGGAGCAGGAACCTGAAAACCCTCCAGAGGTGGCTGAACTACAAGACCCAGCAGCCTCAGCGGCAGCTGGTCGGCAAAATGGCTCTTTGCTCCTGGGGTTGGTTATCATGGTGTCGTCATACAGGGCCATAGAGGGTCTCCATCTTAATAATAATGATTAATAATAATAATAATAATAATAATAATAATAATAATGACAAAGTAGCAACAATGGTGCATTGGAAGATCTGCAAGAAATATCATTTGCCTGTAAGCAAGAACTGGTAGGATCATAAAATAGAGAAAGTCGTAGAAAATGATAAAGTTAAACTGCTCCGGGACTTCAGAATTCAAACAGACAAGCACCTGCAACATAACACCCCGGACTTAACAATTGTCGATAAGAAAGACAGAAAAGTCTGGATAGTGGACGTGGCAGTGCCTGGAGACAGCAGAATAGAGGAGAAAGAACTGGAGAAGATAACAAAATACAAAGACCTACAAATAGAAATAGAAAGACTGTGGCAAAGGCAAGCAAGGGTGGCACCAATAGTTATAGGCGCCTTGGGTGCCATCCCAAAACAACTGGAGCACCACTTGGACACCATCATCGGCATTGACAGATTCGCCATCAGTCAATTGCAAAAGGCGGCCTTACTAGGAACTGCTTCCATCCTGCGACGAGATCTGTAATGCCATCAAACATCCACATCTGCCCATCCCAGGTCCTTGGGAAGGACTCGATAGGTAGACAAAAGTGCCAAATCCAGTCTGAACATCTGGCTGACTGTGCAATGATCCATAATACAGAATACATCAAGAAACTGCACCTCCCTGCAATAACTCCAGCAATGTTACAAAAAACTGCGCTACTCGGAACATCTTACATTTTAAGGAGGTACCTGGTTGACACCTAGGATGCTGGCAGAAAGAGAAAGAGAAAAAAGAACACAGATAGAAAAAACAAGAGGAAGAGAAAAAGAAGTGAAAGAGAGAACAGAGAAAGAAAGAAAGAAAGAGGGAGGGAGGGAGGTAAAGGAGAAAGAAAAAGAGGGAAAGAGGAGAGAGAAAGCAAGAAACAGGAAAGGAGAAAGAGAGAGAGAGAGAGAGACAGAAAGAGAGAGGGAGGAACGGAGAAGAAGGAAGAGAGACGGAAGAGAAAAAGAAGAGAGAGAGAGAGAGAGGAGAAGGATAGGAGAGAAAAACAAAAACAGTGAGAAAGAAAAAAAGAACAGAAAGAGAAAACGAAAGAGGAAGACAAAAAGAAGTGAAAAAGAGAGAACAGAGAAAGAGGTAAAGAAGAAAGAAAAAGAGGGAAAGAGGAGAGAGAAAGCAAGAAACAGGGAGAGAGAGAGAGAGAGAGAGAGAGAGAGAGAAAGAGAAAGAGAGAGAGAGAGAGGCATGTTTACGTCACAAAAGGGAAGGAATGATCCGCACAATTTTGAAGAGTAATTACTACAAATTGTCACAGAAGGTCCCAATCGCTTATTCTCCGCTGTGTTGTAAACCATCTTTGTTTTTTTGACAGCTTTTAAAAATGTTCTCGGGCGACAAGCGGCATTTCAAAAACCCCGTGAGCCAGACCCACACCCACACCCGGAGCAAGTTGCCCTCCACACCTACACACTACTTGCAAAAGGAAAAGGAAAAGAAAAGTCATTTCGGCCCCGATGCCCAAAACCTGATTTTTTGCCTTGGCTGCGATTGATTAGACAAGTGGTAAAACACTATTTATTAGCGGATGAGCCAGAGACAGAGCTGAAAGAAATATTTCACATTTTCTCCCACTCAGCGTGAAAGTTTTCAGGTCTCCCGGTCATTTTTCCAGCTCATGCCATCCTAAAGCCTCCGGAAAGGTAAAAATAGCTCAAGCAGACATGTAAGCAATTGAAACAAAACAGGGAGGACAATCAACCAGTGGAACAACCTGCCACCAGAAATTGTGAGTGCTCCATCACTGGAGATTTTCAAGAAGAGACTGGACAGCCACGGGTCTGAAATGGTATAGGTTCTCCTGCTTGAGCAGGGGGCTGGACTAGAAGACCTCCAAGGTCCCTTCCAGCTCTATTCTATTCTATTCTATTCTATTCTATTGCATTCCATTGCATTCCATTCCATTTCTATACCATTCTATTCTATTCTATTCTATTCTATTCTATATTCTATTCTGCATTCTATTCTATTATTTCTAATTCTATTCAATTATTTGTAATTCTATTCTATTCTATTCTACAATCTGTTATTTCTATTCTTATTTCTAATTCTATTCTATTCTACAATCTGTTATTTCTATTCTATTATTTCTAATTCTATTCAATTCTTATTTCTAATTCTATTATATTCTATTCTACAATCTGTTATTTCTATTCTATTCTATTATTTCTAATTCTATTCTTATTTCTAATTCTTTTCTATTCTACAATCTATTATTTCTATTCTATTCTATTCTTATTTCTAATTCTATTCTTTTTTCTAATTCTTTTCTATTCTACAATGTTATTTCTATTCTATTCTATTCTTATTTCTAATTTTATTCTTATTTCTAATTCTATTCTTATTTCTAATTCTTTTCTATTCTACAATCTGTTATTTCTATTCTATTCTATTCTTATTTCTAATTCTATTCTTATTTCTAATTCTATTCTTATTTCTAATTCTTTTCTATTCTACAATCTGTTATTTCTATTCTATTCTATTCTATTCTATTCTATTCTATTCTATTCTATTCTATTCTATTCTATTCTATTCTCCTAAACCTAGACAAAAAGAAAAAAAATAAGGCCTTCTAACACATCCAGAAGTTTGGCTGACTTCTACAAGAAGCAAGTATAGACACCCCTTGACCTACGACCATTCATTTAATGACCGTTAAGTTACAACAGCCTTGAAAAAGTGACTTATGACCGTTTTTCACACTTATGACCCTTGCTGCATCCCTGAGTCACATGATCAAAATTCAGACGCTTGGCAACTGGCTCATATTTATGACGGTCGCAGTTCCCCGTCGATGGGGAAGCCAAATTCACTTAACCACCCTGTTTCTAACTTAACAACTGCAGCGGTTCACTTTATGACCGTGGCAAGAAAGGTCGTAAAACGGGGCAAAGCTTGCTTAAGGAATATCTCGCTTAGCCGTGGGAATCCTGCGCTCACGTTGCGGTCGTAAGCCGAGGACTGACTTGTATTCTGCAATTACAGGCACGTCGACCATGACAGATACCAGTGCTGTGATTTCTCGCCAGCCCGTGGACCCAGCAGCTGAGTCTGGGGAATCAGAGGAGGGGGAAGAGGGGCCTAGAGTGACATCAGAGTCGGAGGAAGGCTCTGAGGAGCTCCAAGACTTACAGTCGGACGAGGAGCCTGGCCCCTCTACTCGCGCTCAGGCTGAGACGCAGCTGTGCTGGGAGCCCGAATTGGACAGTGATGAAGAACAGCTGGGGCAAATCCAGGATGCACGAAAGCGCCGGCAAGAGAAGTGAGTAGGACAGAGGGATGCAATGGGGTCGCTCCAAAGGCAAAGGAGAAGGCATTAGGAAGCCACGCCTGGGCTGAATTATAAAAGGGAAGGTGTGGGAGGTGCTGGTGGCCGTTTGTGTTAAGGAATCGAGTTTGTGTGAACTGTGTTTGTTTGCCTTGGACATTGACACAGGTCTGTGAACAATAAAAGGGGATTGGTTTTTTTCCCTGCAGTTCCTGCCTGCTTGATTTGAAGAGGGGTTTTTCTCCTTGTGAACGTAACAAGGAGTTCAAGTAGGCTGGGACAGAACAACCTGGCAGAGCGCTTGGGTGAATGTAAATTGGTATTTTCCTCCCACTTCCTTTGTTTAGACGCAGGAAATTCAACCCAGGATTAGGATGCTTAGGACGGGCCCTTGAATTTGCAGTGTTTTATTCTCAAAAAGAAAAGGTACCTCTTGGAGTCTTCCCGTTCCGCCTGAGAGTTGTTGAATTTTGAAAAAAAAAGAAATAAAAAGAAAAAAGAAGGAAAGACGCACAGCCCTGACAATTGAGGTCTTTTTCTGTTCTGACTACAATCAGGCTTGCATTCAACTTAGCTAGTTAACATCTGCCAGAATTAGCTGCTTTTGTAACATGGGACTTTTGTCCCTCACTTCAGGCCAAGCATGTTTTCTTCCACAGTTGATTAGTGTGTTTGAATCATCCACGGCAGAAATTATTCCAAGTTCTAAAATGCTCTTTTCCCCCCCGTTTCTGGCAGTCTGCTTTCTTTCATTCCTTTCAAACTCCTCCGGTTTAGCGAAAGGTGGCTAGGAAGGTGGCAGAAACTGGGTATGTCTAGTCTAGTGAAAAGAAGGACCAAGGTCGACAAGATAGCAGTATTCCAATCTCTCAGGGGCTGCCCCAAAGAAGAGGGAGTCAAGCTCTTCTCCAAAGCCCCTGAAGGCAGGACAAGAAGCAAAATAGATGGAAACTCATCAAGGAGAGAAGCAACCTGGAACTAAGGAGAAACTTCCTATCCGTGAGAACGATCAGCGGAACGGCTTGCCACCAGAAGTCGTGGGTGTCTCAATACTGGAGGTTTTTAAGAGGGGATTGGACAGCCATTTGTCTGAAATGGCATAGGGTCTCCTGCTGGAGCAGGGGGTTGGACTAGGTGACCTCCAAGGTCCCTTCCAACTCTTCTTCTGTTAAATCCTCAAGTTCCTGGAATTGGGATTGTCCAGTTTAATGAAAAGAAGGACTAAGGGTGACATGATAGCAATATTCCAATATTTGAGGGGCTGCCCCAAAGAAGAGGGGGGGGGGGTCAACCTATTCTCCAAAGCACCTGAAGGCAGGACAAGAAGCAACGGATGGAAACTCATCAAGGACAGAAACAACCTGGAATTAAGGAGAAACTTCCTGACCGTGAGGACAATTAACCAGGGGAACGACCCGCCTCCGGAAGATGTGGGTGCTCCATCAATGGAGGTTTTTTAAAAAGAGACTGGACAGCCACTTGTCTGAAACGGTATAGGGTCTCCTGCTTGAGCAGGGGGTTGGACTAGAAGACCTCCAAAGTCCCTTCCAGCTCTATTCTGGTTGACTCCTATCCCTGGTTCAGCCATCTATCATGCATACATGATAGCAGTATTGCAATATTTGAGGGGCTGCCACAAAGAGGAGGGGGTCTATCATCTATCTATCTATCTATCTATCTATCTATCTATCTATCTATCTATCTATCTATCTATCTATCTATCTATCTATCTATCTATCTGTCTGTCATCACCTATTCTATATCTGGTGGCGCAGGGGTTAAAATGCAGGATTGCAGGCTAATGCTGCCCACAGCCGGGAGTTCGATCCTGACCAGCTCAAGGCTGATTCAGCTTTCCATCCTTCTGAGGTCGGTAATATGAAGACCCAGATTGTTGGGGACAATATTCTAACTCTGTAAACCATCAGTGTTTCTCAACCTTGCCAATTTTAAGGCATGTGGACTTCAACTCCCAGAATTCCACAGCCAGCATTGCTGTCTGTGGAATTCTGGGAGTTGAAGTCCACATGCCTTAAAATTGGCAAGGTTGAGAAACACTGACTTAGAGGATGTGGTATATAGTCTAAGTGCTAATGCTATTTGACCGGCCAAACCAGCATTGCTCAACCTCGATGACTTTAAGATGCTTGGCTGACTGGGGAATTCTGGGAGTTGAAGTCCACCCATCTTAAACGTCATCACGTATGAAAAACCCTGGGCTAAAACCCTGAGCTAAGCCATTACAACATCAGAAGGACTTTTTTCCACACAATTCCAGAAAAAAACAACAACTCACCAGCAGAATCCATGTCCTTACTCAGGGCTCTTAAGGCTTCCCGGTTCTGGTTCCGTTTCTGATTCAGATCGAAAATCTACAAGAGAAATTGATAAAACTTTAAGCTTGACTAAAAAGCTCATTCATCCAGCATCTCCCGGTCTCGCTTCTTCCTCTCTGCAGATTGGACAAGCCATCTTGTATTATATTTTTCTACTGCACCTGAGGGCAGGACAAGAAGCAACAGATGGAGACTAACCAAGGAGAGAAGCAACCTGGAACTGAGGAGAAATTTCCTGACAGTGAGAACAATTAACCAGTGGAACTGCCTGCCTCCAGAAGTTGCAGGTGTTCCATCACTGGAGGTTTTTAAGAAGAGACTGGATATCTATTTGAAATGGTATATAGGGGGTTGAACAACAGACCTCGATGGTCCCTTCGTCTATTCAGTGGAATAGATTGCTTCCAGAAGTTGTGGATGCTCCAACAATGGAAGTTTTTAAGAAGAGGCTGGACAACAATTTGTCCGGAATGGTATAAGGCAGGGATCTTCAAACTTGACCCTTTTATGACTTGTGGACTTCAACTCCCAGAATTCCTCAGCCAGGCACACACCCCTGATCTACAGCAAGGAGATCAGACTGGTGTTCCACCAGAGATAGTTGGAAGTTGTATTTCACAGGAACAAATGGAAAGTCAACTGTGAGGTCCTTGATCTCTGAAAAACATCAAGGGCCCCACAGTTCAACCCTGGGTTGTTAATACAGATAGTCCTTGACTTAACAACAGGGGTCTTCAAACGTGACCCTTTTATGACTTGTGGATTTCAACTCCCAGAATTCCTCAGCCAGGCTTGCTAGGTGGTACTGGAATATTGCCATATCCTAAAAGTGGTACAACCTGTGAAAAAGTTGAAAAGCCCTGGATTAGAAGACCTCCACGGTCCCTTCCAACTTAGTTATTCTGTCTGTCCAACAACTGGCTGGAGGCTGGGGCTGCCAAAATGCCACTGGAAAAAAAATCAGCATTAATTTGGCTGCTAACTGGTTGCTTGGCACTTCGTACCCCTATCCAGGAATTGGAAGGAATTTTCTAACAAAACTAGCAGTTTGGAGGCAAGGTGGGGGTACAGTTCCACCCAGCCAGTTGCTACCTTGCAGCCATAAGGGGGTCCTGCCCTCGTCTCCTTTGTGGTCTGCAATGCAGATTGCTGAGTAGGCCAAGATTGCTGAGCTCCTACCCCATTTAATGTGAAGGAAGGAAGGAAGGAAGGAAGGAAGGAAGGAAGGAAGGAAGGAAGGAAGGAAGGAAGGAAGGAAGGAAGGAAGGAAATGAGAAGAGAAGAGAAGAGAAGAGAAGAGAAGAGAAGAGAAGAAAAGAAAAGAGAAGAAAAGAGAAGAAAAGAGAAGAAAAGAGAAAGGAGTGAGAAGAAGGAAGGAAGGAAGGAAGGAAGGAAGGAAGGAAGGAAGGAAATGAGAAGGGAAGGGAAGAGAAGGGAATGGGAAGAAGGAAGGAAATGAGAAGAGAAGAGAATGAGAAGTAGGAAGGAAGGAAGGAAGGAAGGAAGGAAGGAAGGAAATGAGAAGAGAATGAGAAGAAGGAAGGAAGGAAATGAGAAGAGAAGGAAAAGGAAGGGAAGGGAAGGAGAAGGAAGGAAGGAAATGAAAGGGGACAGAAAAGGGAATGGGAAGGAAGGAAGGAAGGAAGGAAGGAAAGAGGGAAGGAAAGAGGGAAGGAAGGAAGGAAGGATAAAGTGAAAGAGAGAGAGAGGAAGAAGAGAGAGAGAGAGAGAGAGAGAAAGAAAAGGATAAAACATTAAAACATAATAATAAAATGATAATAATAGAATAAATATTAACACTATTGGGAGAGTCCGTCTCCATCTGCAGAAATTTTAAAACAGAGCCTTTACAAGCATTTTCCCTGGATAGCCCGCGTGGGCCTGGCTGCCCCTTGCTTAGGGCTGGACCAGACGACCTTGGGGTACCCCTTCCAACAAGACAATCCTAGGACCCTCTGGAGCGTGGTCTGAGCGGGGAAGGG